ACGAATCATTAATGTATGTCGCGAAGTAACACCGCAAGTGCTCCAGAATGTTCGACAACGGTTTGAAGACAACCTGTATCATTGTATGCAAGCTGGCGGACAACATTTTCAGCATTTACTTGACTAATACCGTAAGTTTTGAAGTAAAATTAAATCGATTTTCGCATTTCTCGTCAAAAATATTGTTCGTATTTTCAAAGCGGCATATTTTCTAAAATAATGAATCGATTTTCAAAAAGTAAGAATCCATGTATAGAGAATTAAAAGCCCTTTCTAATTACCGCCCACTTGACCCCCATTCCTATTTGAAAAAATTCAGGGGATAGCTCCCCCACTTAAGGGGTTGAAGATTTTGGTATGCTTTTTGAGCCAAAAGTTGTCCCGCTCAGAAACAAATTTGACTTGTTTTTGGATTTTGCCGAAAAGTTCTTTACTACCCTGTAATGCCTTGCGGTACGTTTTCGATGGGCTACCCTCTATAAAGTTAAGATAATAAAACAAAAACAATCGTGCAACAGGCAAAATAAAAAAGAAAAGGAAAAAAAGCAAGCAAATGGACAAACTAAACAAGTTAAGTTAAGTAAAAGATTTAAAACACATAAATAGCACAAACTAAAACAGAAAAGAGGAATACTAAGATACCAATATTATAGTTTTGATTTTGGAAATAGATGAAAAAAACAAGTCTATTGAACCTTGGAGCGACGTATAACTCATGCACATCCGATACAATGGAGATGATGATAACTCATCTCCATGAGATGAGATGACTACTACTAGTAATATGGAACTTAGTAAATCACACAAGAAACATAATTTCTTCACATTTTTTAGATGAGGAAGGCTAAGATCATAGAGGATGTATATTTACAAGTACTGAAATCGAATGTTTATACTGACCTCTGCCACCGCCGCAGCTGTAAAGTTTGGATCTTCCATCGCCTTTTCAGTCTTTGATTTTGATTTGTACAGCACCAAGAGTACCATTAGGCCGAAGAAGCTGCCGAGGGTGGCGGCTATACGCACCCCGGTCATAACATCGTACGTCTTGTAGTACTCTCTGGGATCGGGGGTCGTCGTGCTGACGACGGTGGGATATGGAGCGGTGGTGACGTTATTTCCTGGAGAGCCATTAGGCTCCGGGTCCATCACGTACGAAGATTGCCTGAAACATCAACGGAAAACGGTGACTGCCTATAATTTTTATCAACTTTTCCATATGATTTGCCATTTAAGGCAGTTACACAGAACGTATACAATCATTTCAGTCTTTTTTTTATTAAAATATCGACATTTCAACATTTTCTAAGTAGTAGTTTTATTTTCAAAATATTTGATAACAGACAAATTGTTTGAAAAAAAAAACAAAACTGCTGGCATCTCGATAATTCGATGGTCCTCGTATCTGAAGGGCGAATCGATAGATCAAGTTCTTAAAGTACAAGCTTTCCCACATAAAAGGAAGGTTCCTTTATAAATAAAGCAATTCCACGTCTGTGGAATTGTGTAAGAAAGAAAGCGGAAAACAACACCAATTCCTATCTGCCAAATTACGAGTCTGTTCAAAATAATTCAACAGATAATTCAGGGACTCCAGAATAGCAAATATTGCGTTTAAAAAATAATTTGATAAGTGAAAAAAATTGATTTAGTATTCGTCGAAGATGGAAAGTTCTTTATGATTCACATAGCTAAAAATATAGACGTGGTACATTCAAATCTTCAATCAAAAACATATGACATTAAAGAAACTTCTCAATTTAATTCGCGTATCTATTTTAATAAAGCTCTGGTGCTAAAATAACTATACTCGTCATAAAGATATAAATACTTTCATCTTATCGATTGAGAATTTATATGATAGATACTATTACTCTCATGAATAACATGAAAAAGGCCTTTGAAGGAATAATATACAGGGTAGCCCATCGAAAACGTACCGCAAGGCATTACAGGGTAGTAAAGAACTTTTCGGCAAAATCCAAAAACAGGTCAAATTTGTTTCTCAGGGGGACAACTTTTGGCGCAAAAAGCATAGCAAAATCTTCAACCCCCTAAGTGGGGGTGCCATCCCCCAAATTTTTTTAAATGGGAATGGGGGTCAAGTGGGGGGTCATTAGAAAGGGCTTTTAATTCTCTATACATCGATTCTTACTTTTTGAAAATCGATCCATTATTTTAGAAAATATGCAGCTTTGAAAATACGAACAATATTTTTGACGAGAAATGCGAAAATCGATTTAATTTTACTTCAAAACTTACGGTATTAGCTTGGTAAATTCCTTCAAAAGAATTCGCTGTTTTTTTTTTCTGATTTGCGAATTCTTTAGCCTGATTTTGGTGAGCAAAAAATTGTCCGCTTTTTGTTTCGTATTTAGATAGGCCACAAGAAGTTGCTAGATAACTGTCTTGTGACTTGTAGTTGAAGAGTACCAATACTGCCGAGTCTTTTAAATTGATTAATTATGGTGTACTCAATTCCAGAAAGAGTAGAAATTATTGAGCTTTTTTTCAAAAACAATGAATGCGGAAATCGGGTCGCCGAACTGTTCAACCAACGGCATCCTGAGAAACATGCGTCTGGAAAAATTGTTCGCGAATTGGTGGCCAAATTTCGCGAAACTGGCTCCGTTCATAACAAAAAGAGGCAGGTTGAAAATCCGGTACTAAATGAACCTACGGAAATAGCGGTATTGGGGCAAGTGGCAATGGATAGTACGCTGAGTACAATGCAATTGGCTACTGCGACAGGAGTGAGTCGTACAAGTGTCCAACGAATATTAAAAAAATACAAATTCCATCCTTATAAGATTCGGCTAGTGCAAGAGCTAAATGAAGACGATTTTGATCGTCGTTTGCAATTTTGCGAAATAATGACTGAACGAGCGATAAACGATAATTTCCTCTTTAATGTGTGTTTTTCGGACGAGTGTACGTTCTTCTTGAATGGTTTAGTGAATCGCCATAATTGTCGTTACTGGGCTGATACCAATCCAAGGATTTTCCATGAGACACACTCCCAACACCCCCAGAAGTTGAATGTATGGGCAGGTATTTTTGGAAATTCCATTGTAGGTCCTTTTTTCCTTCCTGGAAATTTGACAGGCGATATGTACTTGGATTTACTACAAAATGTCATCGACCCAGCTCTAACAAATATCATAGAGGACGACCCTGCTTACAATGAACACGAACTGATTTTCCAGCAAGACGGAGCTCCTCCACATTACTCGCTCAATGTGCGCAATTACCTAAATGAGACGTTTCCAGGACGCTGGATAGGACGAAGAGGTGCAATTGAGTGGCCCCCTCGGTCACCCGACTTAAATCCTTTAGATTTCTTTCTCTGGGGGCACATTAAAAGCAAAGTTTACAGCACTCCACCTGATACCTTGGAAGATCTGCGAGGACGAATCATTAATGTATGTCGCGAAGTAACACCGCAAGTGCTCCAGAATGTTCGACAACGGTTTGAAGACAACCTGTATCATTGTATGCAAGTTGGCGGACAACATTTTCAGCATTTACTTGACTAATACCGTAAGTTTTGAAGTAAAATTAAATCGATTTTAGTACCGAAATTCCTAATATTGATTACATAAATACATTTTTTAAGTATTCGACTAAAATTTTAATTAAATTAATTGTTTCGTATAAATGAATGAGTCATTGCTAGTGGACCATCTCTGCTATTGGTCCAACATTTCTCGCTTTACCCTATTAAATGGGATAAAATAAACCACCTCACAAGAATTTTCAAATCGTAAATGTTTTATTGGTTGTAATTTTATACGATGAAAAAAATCCACAAAAGATTACTTTTATGGTGTACTCGGTATATTGGTTCAGTTTAAAGAGTACCACAAACTGACAGAATTACATCGTAAAGTAAAACAACTAACTGTTTCCCCCGAGAAACGAAACGTGAATATTTTCGTAATGCTAAAGGCGAGAGAAATTATGCAAGCAATTCGCAGAAAGATCAATAAAGAATTGGAGGATATTCTGTCTTCAACTAAATGCTTGTTAAAGTAAGAGCGTCTAGATGAAACTGCTGAACCCTTTCAAAAAGTTTTATTATTAATGTATAAAAAAATTTCTTTGAAGGCCCATAGCTTTTAAGGAAGCTAAATTATACTGCTGTATATGTGTATAAATATTATATATATATATATAGTATAAATTCGTTTTTCCACCCTATTTATGAGCTTTGCTCAAACATTATTTGTAGCTGGAAAAATATGTGCCAAACATCAATACATCCAATTTATTTTGAAGCAGACAGGGTAATTTGTACTTAAGTATCAAGTCTCTGCCACAACAGCTTCGACTCGGCTCTATTATAGATTTTTTATATCAAGAAGGTTCCTTAGAAGCGCTATTCTCATGTAAGGAAGTATAAAGAAAGAAACACTTTAAACATTTAATAGCTGGTTTATAATTTAATGTTGGAGTACAACGTTAACTCTTTGTTATGAAATGACATCTCAATATTTAAGAGTAGGATGGAAAACTACGAAAAAATGCAGACTAAAATAGTTTAAATCTTTTTTTTATGTGTATAACAGCTTACACTGTTTAACTATTAGTGAAAAATACGTACAGAATGAACATACATAGTTGAGAATTGTATCTATTTTCCTTATTTTTTATTTTAACTGTGACATTAGGTAATTGTTGCAATTTATATCAATATTCTACAGAGGGCACTTCGATTTTTTATCTTTAACAACTATAATTTCAAAAAATGATGATTTATGCCCTATTCGATAAATCATAACTTTTTTAACTGTAGGGTAATAAAGTTTTATTTAAAAATATTCTAGTTTCCAATAATACGTTTGTTTAATAATGTTTAATGTTTATAAAATATAGGTATAAATTATTTTATTAAACTGCATATCCCTTTATTCTGGCGCTTTACTGACGCCTTGTTGTAACAATCAATATAATTTTACCGGAAAATATTACCCTCTATTTGATACCTAAGGGCTTTAAATATACAAGTACTTTGATATTTAATCCACCCCTTTATTAAACTTTACTCTGCCTTATCGCAACAGTCCCTTTTAATTACAAATTGATAATATTAATTTTGATACATTACACAGCCCCACAAAAAGAAAAGTATCGGATCTGGTATTCTGGTATTTTTTTTAAAAAGAGAAACGAAAAATAGAGGGACTAAACAAAAGCGTAACCCTTTGCATAGATCCTTTGAAGAAAAGAGAACACGTTATAGCAACAAAAATAAGAATGATTTGTAGATATCGTTTTCTTTTGTTTAGAAAGTAGAGTATTCTAAAAGTTTTATTGCATTCTCAATCTAGGCTGTTATCTCATCTCTCAGTACAAAAAGTAGATGGATAGATGGGTGGATGGGTGGGTTTTATAGGTGGTACAGGTGGATGGATAAATATGCGTATTCATGCATGAACGGCTGGATAGAAAGATGTATGAATTAAAGGGTGGGTGAATAAAAAGATGCTGCAACACGAATTATGCCATGAAAATGGCGTTTTTGATCTATTTTCTGTTTTTGAATGAAATTGGACCAGCTTGACCGACTCTATGATGATAAATTGGAATTAAACGAGTGAAAAATCCTACGTCTAGTGAGCTGGTACAATAATGTGACTTTTTATAACTTTCGTCAGTCGTAAATGACGTTTTTTGTGAATTTTGACCTGTTTTTTTTAATTTTCCTGAAAACTCAGACCCATTGGGACAAATCTGAAGGCAGATTCGGATTCAGCGGAAAAAATACATAGAAATTCATGGGGCTGAATACCAGATCCGATACTTTTTTTTGTGGGGCAGTGTTATGTTACGTAATTCGAGTAATTTTATATATTAGGTACTTATTTCAACCGAGGGGATACGGAAAGAGATATAAAGTTGGTAAATTACAAAAAGTTATGTAATGATCAGCAGTTTAGAATAATGACTTTAACTTTCCTGTAATTTTCATAGACCACTAGATGAGTAGAATTTTATGAAAACACATTTTTTAGAATAATATTTTAATTAGTTTGTGACATATTAAATCTCTGCGTTAATTACCAAAACTCGTGGAAGAAGAGCCTAATTAGTTATTAAGATTTTTACATTTTTTTATGTTATTCCACATCTGTGTTTTAGTATTAATATGAAATGCTATTAAAA